CGCATAAACACATTTCATTACACCAAATACACAAAATAATGTTCTTTTTAGCAGCATCATATGACCCCTTTAAATCATTTTTAAATTTAATTTTAGTTCAAATAATTGTACAATTATTTAATTGTATTATTTAATAACTTTTATTAATATAGAAGTATTATTTTACATTTATTTTTAAATTTATATTTATATTTTAATCCTTTAATTTTTTTTTATTATGATCTAATTTTTATTATTTTAATCACGTGTCATTATTTAATCAAATTTTTATTTATTTTATTCTTACTTCTATTTATTTTGATCTCAATGTTATTTAAATCTTGTTTATATATTTATATTAATCTAATTTCTCATTATTTAATTTAATTTTTATTTTAATCTTATTTCTATCATTTATTTTGATCTCATTTTTATCTTTTTAATTTTATATATTTTATTCTAATTTCTCATTATTTAATCTAATTATATTTTAATCTAATTTCTATTATTTGTTTATTTAGATCTAATTTTTATTATTTGAATCTCATTTTTACACATTTAATGTAATCATTTTTTTATTGTAATCTTTAAATTTTTTTACAATGTTTATTTTTTTATTATAATAGAACTGTTATTTATTTTAATCTTATTTCTATTATTTATTTATTTTGATATGGTTTTTCTCTCGACTTCTCCATGGACCTTTTTTCTTTTTTTTTTTTTATATACAAAGAATTGCCTTCAGAAGAACCATTAAAAAATGGCAAAAGAGATTCTGAATGTGGGCGGGGACATTTTAAATGTGGCGCTCAGTGTGGGAGGGGCATGTTAGATGTGGGCGGGGCATTCTAGATGCAGGAGTGGCAAATATGAATGTGGGAGGAACACGTTTATAACTAAAACTCAGCACACAAAGACTAAAAATAATAGACGTGAGAGACGTGAGCTGATTGACAATCACTCTATTATTCCTGAACTCATTTGAAAGTTTTCAAACGATCCAGGAGATCCAGGAGATCAGGACAGACACCCAGGGGTTCCCGCTGGCAGACGTGTGTTTGGCTGGAGACAGAAAGCGTCCTGAGAGACAGAGAGATGTGAGACTGATCCCATATGATCTGAACTCATATTTCCACATCAAGCATCAACTATCAGCAGATCAACAGATGAAGGTGAAGTAAGCAGCGACAGCAGGAGAATCAATCACTCACACATCTAAATATTCATCCTGAGAACAATCATCCATCAGACCACAAACACACACATACACACACACTCACACACACTCTCGCACGCACTCGCACGCACTCGCACTCGCACACACACTCACACACGCACTCACACTCGCACTCACACGCACACACAAACACTCACTCACACACGCACTCGCACACACAAACACTCACACTCACTCACACACACTCACACACTCGCACTTGCACACGCACACAC